ATTAAGTTAACCTAATTTCTATTAAATTTTAATTACAAAAAAAATGTTTAAGTTAACCTAATTAAACTAATTAATTAAATGCAAATAAATATTTTATGAAAAAAATCTGATTTTTATGTTTTTTTGTGATTTTTGATTTAATAAAAAAATCATTTTATTTTGTAAAAAATAATTAAACAAATAATTAAAACAAATTTAAAAAATTAAAAAATTTAAAAAAAAAGTTGGCCTGGTGGGGTTGCAACCCAGATTGAAGGGTTGCAAGTTGAATTCTGTCCAAAAGCCCTATTCAATGGTCCAACACAATGCTAAATTTGGTGTGATTATGCCAGGGATGTCCATCATGAGCTGCAGCCTGAAAGCGTTAGATCTGGGGCATGTGACGATCAAAGGCGTGAGATCTGGAGGTGCATGCTAGGCGCTTGGTTGTGAGGCGCATGGAATCTGCAATAAACAAATTGGAAAACAAGAAAATGTTGAGACCTGGGATCGAACCCAGGTCCTCCCTCTCAAATACCTCAGCCTTTGCCATCTGCGCTGGAGCGCTTGTTTGAACACATAATAACATGATATCATTATATATGAAAACAAGATAAATATTTCGAAATAAAAAAATGTGCGCCAGATTCAAACTGGCCAATGATAGGCTGCCACCTAGCCGTCTTCTTCACAGAAATGTCGTTTTAGACACAAGGTTTTTACCTACGGTCATGTCCATTGCTATAAACCTGCAATCCTCAAAAATCACATTCAAGCAACATAAATCAAATCCAATTACACAGATCAATTGGGTTTGATCTCCTGAATGCAATAATATCCATCTTTAGCCCTGATTTTACCTAAAATGCAAAACCCTAAAAAGCAAACTTAAACCCTAACAATGGTATTTCATCATACAGTCATCAAAACATGCAATTAAATATGCAAACACATTCTAAAGGATGATACAAACATGAATATATACTTATAAATCATTTATCATGCGTGAATTTCAAAAATCAATTTCAAAAATATGAGCAAACCGTGATGTTGCTAGCGAGCGTTTCTTGATGCTTCAGGCCTTGATAATGCTTGCTATCGCCCCGATAAACATCCAGGAATATGATTTGACCTTTAGAACGCTTTGAACTGGCCTATAGAGGAAGATCCAGTATGCACTTTTTGACAAAAAATTCGAGTTTTGTTTTTTCTCTACGGAGGCAGGTTGCGCGTATGTTCTTGTCCTCTAGGGTTGGAAAGGCTTTACATATGCAGTGAATCCCTTTAGGGAAACATTTTTGGCAAGAATCCAAAGAATGATGTCATGGCCTTAATGAAGAAATCAATCTTGAAAATTTGCCAAATGTGGATATTTTGTGCCTATTTGGTTTTGCACGAATTTTTTGCTATTATACAACCTGTATGGATTATGATTCAATGCAAAAATCAAATCAAAACAAATCTTTATTATTTTGTTTAATTTAATTGGATTTTTAAATGATTAAAATCAAAATAAATCAAATAAATAAGCAAATAATGCATGGAGAGGTTTATGGGTCGTGAACCAGGCTAGGAGCAAGATGCAAGCATAAAAAGTTAGGCCCATTTGAAGAAAAATGCATTTTTGGGCATTGTTGATTTTGGGCAAATTTCCAAAAATGGCCAACTTTGACAATGCATATCTCTCTCAATTTTGACCCTAAGAGGGTGTTCTTTTACTTTTTAGAAAGCTTAGGATGTCCCCTGAGCAACCTCTTTTGTTTCATCTCAATTGGATCTTCCATGTTCATGTAAGGAGCTTTGACCCAAAAGGTGTTTTTGTTGACTTTTTGGAATGACCTATAATGTCTGAATTCATATATTTCCATGAGCTCATTTCTTGAACTTGAGGAATGAAGATGAGTTGTAGGGAATAGAATTCTCTTCAAAATGAGACTTGGATGAGAAATTTCTTATAAAGTATGAAAAGGTTATGCTTGGTCAAAGTTTGGTTGACTTTTCCTAAGAAACCCTAATTTACAACCTTTGAGTTTTGATGAATTAGGAGCTTTCCTTGGGGAATCATGATCAACCCTTGATCAAATGATGGATATCACTTCAAAATATTGATGTTGACCAAGAATCTTGAAGTTTGACTATATCTGGGCCCCAATTGACTTTTGACCTGATATAGTTGATTTTCAAGCATCTGATCAGTTGACTGGGCAAACTTCTTGTGCAAGGCATGAAACTTGGCATGAATGGTCTTGATAACATATTAGGACAATGGAGAGCATATGAGGCCCTTTGTACTCACCCATCTTGATGAAAATGGAAACGCTAGTTGGAGGTTCATTGCTTTAGGAGAGAGTTTGCCTGGTCAATTCTTGGCCATCCTTGAGCAAGTTTAGTATCTTAGTCAACATATATTGAGTAAAATGGGAGGGAAAATTTGGGGTACAATAGCTAGGTTCTTCCTATAGATCATCTTAGAACCTGAGATCGCCCATTGGCTAGATTTTTCCAACAGACCATCTTAGAACCTGAGATCACCCATTGGCTAGGTTCTTCCTATCACTACAAGAAAAAATGAGTTTTACGACACATGAGTTGCGACGGTTCCCATAAATCTGTCCTTATTCTTGGACTGCGACAGTTGTCACGACAGTTAGAGCCGACCGTCGTAGATTTTTAAGCATATTGAGTAACATAATTGAGACAGTTGCCAAAGAACTGCCCTCTTTCCACACTCGCGACCAGTATAACAGATTGTCGCGACTACTTTGACCAATCATAATTATTATTTTGTTATTATTTTATTTTCTCACTTTTTCCATTTGTTTTATTTTTCCATCTTTTCACTTTTATTAATTAAATATAATAATAGTAATTAATTAATTATAATATTAGTATTATAATATTACTTACTAACTATTAATTATATTAATAGTAGTTATATAATATAATAGTAACTATATTAATATTAGTAGTATTTAAATAATATAATAGTAATGTCAATATATATTCAATAAAAAATAGAATTATAGCATATCCCACGACGGTTCCTTTCACCGTCCCTTTGGCTGGAACGTATCATATCCCACGACGGTTTAAGAACCGACCCCGCTCAGATTTATGATCGTTCTCAACCTTTCGTAACGTTCTTTCAATTCACGCGCTAAGATTCTCAAATTCTACCGCAATTTCCTTTTCTTTTCAGAATCACAAACTCCTTTGTACATAAAGACGACTACGTGTCAGATCTGAGATATCCAATCGAAAGCATCAAATGTCCTCTAGAGGTCTTCGTACTGGCCTCCTTCGATTGCTAAGCAAAGGGGAAGATCTCTCTTTGAAGTCGCACAAAGAAGGTATTCCGTGTCGCACAAATCAGCAGCAATGTCTGGAGAATCCGCCACCGCTATTCACAAGGGTCAAGTAAGATTCAAACTCTATCATTCACTATTATGATCATCGTCAAGTTTATCTTATTTGATTTAGGGTACACAAGTTCTAACCTAGTTCATATACTCTTGATTAGGTTGATCTCTTAGGCTTCATAGATTGGATTGGTGTTGAATGCCTCAATCAAAGCACCACTCTCTCTGTTTCCAGTGCTATCAAACAGGTTATGTTTCTTTTTTCTATGATTCAATTCAGAAGCAAAAACCCTTATTGTGTTAGCTATAATTTTATCTTAATGTAACTTTGCTTGATGAAAATTAGGGTTATAGAGAAGATAAAGGTTTTCATCTAGAAATTGATGCATATGAACAGTTTTTGCTTTATATTGCTTTCACCCAAGTTATTAAACTTTATTCCATTATTGTCAAAGGTCCTGAAGATAAAGTTAACCACTTAATCATTCACATTATAGAACTAAACTACATTATTAATTTTGAAATCTCAATTGTTCTAGAACTGATGTCAGTGTTTTATCTCTAACTGACAATAATCAACATTGACAAGTGAGGTGTCCTATAAAATAATGGTGTTGTTGGTGGTCACTTTTTTCTGTCCAATTAAACTCTAATTGTCCATAAATTACATAGGGAGGTGCTGAAAGGGAACAAGGATTACTTCAGATACTGTAGGAAACTTTGGAACAATCTCACATGTAGGAAACTTTAGCAAGTAAATTACCCGTGACATAGAACAGAAAGCTTGAAAGATTCGAGATCAAGTAAATTACCCGTGATATCAGTTCTCATCTGACACGCTATATATATAAATTTTATGGTGGTAATTGTTTTTCTCAATTTTATAGGAGATCTGAATGTGAGTGATTGCATTAATACTTTTATGTCTATGGCATGGGAGAGTAGAGTTCTACTATGATAAGATTATTATAAGATTATTATAGAAAGAAACGGGACATGAGGGATAATATTTCTAAGGTTGAGCTCAGTAGACATTTTATATCGCATTCTCAAATCATTTTGTCACTATGTGATTGTCACAGAATAAAACATCTCTAGTCTCCATTCATGTTTTTGTCTTTGCTTCTCTTTTATCTTTTTGTGGGACCATCACTCAATTGGACTAACATTTTCTTTCTTTTTATTTATCCATTGATTTTCATGTTGATTTTCATGTTCATACCAAAAATTTTAAGTTACATTTATGGTGTTTGTTGTTTCCTTCAACTTCAATTATTTATCAAGTGATATAACATTGCGTCTACATAGACCCTTACAGTTTTATCATTAGTAAATTATGATCCGTTAGATCGAGAAGTATGAGTGTTATATATAAATTAATATCGTATGAGTGTAACACGCGGCAACGGCCACAATTCAGAGGCACACAATGCACTCAAAGTTCACTGACTTATCCATAATGCAATGACTATATAATAACCACTAAAATGTGAAATATTGAAGACACTCAAACCCATCATTTATGGTACACTATCTTAACGAAATTAATTCATCAAATTTGTCTCTATGACCTCTCTTTCATGCTAAAATCCAACTACTACACAATAACAACACTGTCTCACACATAACTGGCACCAATTCACAAACTGTGTTTCAAAACAAATGATTCTGCTTAGAGTATTACGTTTGTTTATATTCTGTTTGGTTTTATCAACACTTTGTTCCATTACCAAATGTGGAAGTTCAGATGTAACTCTGAAATTCTTGAAAGCACCTCATGCATTTTCTCACTTGAATTCAGCAACATTTGCTTTTGAAGTTCTTAATTCTGGTAGTAACCGTACTTGCTCAAATTGCAGCCTCAGTTGTAAGGTTTGTATGCCACTAAGTTTCTGTAAGATTATGTTTAGTTTGTAACTTTCTAATGGTTTCGTCGATATTTAGGCCAATAAGTTGTTTTGTTTCTAAGCTTACTATGTGTGCAGCTTGATGATTGGGTCGCGTCAGTTTGCACGAACGGGAGAGTTACATACTCAAGCTTGCAAGATGGAAATCATGGTTTTGAAGTCTGCACCAATGGAAATCATAGTTTTGTGGGCTGTGCTAGCTACAACTGGACTGTTGGTTAAGAAACCATACTTCATTCCTATGTTTTTATTTATCAGTCTGTTATTGCCGATGAATTTGGCCTTTTACATGCTTTTGTGTCTTTGGAGTGATAAAAATCATTTTTAACTTTTTCAGACACAATTCCACCAACAGCATATGTTACAGCCTCAACAACTTTCACAAGTTCTTCAAATGTTTCGGTAAATATATCTTTCACCGAACCGTGTATAGGTGAAGGTTTTGGATGCAAGTCTGTGAATGCCTGCAATGTAAGCATATGTCCATCTACAATTGCTTAGATTTCTCAAAACAAGACGGAGCGAGTACTGTGTTACCATAATATTAGATCCATTTTTAACTTCTTGCTGTTATATTTCTTTGCAGCTTCTTGTCTATGGTGCTGGCCAGGTTGTACCATCTTCCTTTAGAGTTCTGAAGCCAAACCTCATGTATTCTCTTCTTGTTAGTTTATCTCCTACCGTTCAATACGGCCGAGCAATCCTGGTAATGGATAGGAGTTTCTGTACTGACATAGCTGGTAACAGCTTTACAAGAATGGCAAATTCGAGTGTTCATCTACATATTGGTGAGTGCTATCTTTCTTCTGTCATTCTAGCGGTATTAGTACTGGATATAATTAGTAATTCACGAGGATTTGATGTTCGAAAATATGATCCACAGACAGAAGAAAGGTTTATGTCAACATCAGGACTCGTGTACCTGAAAAGCTACTTCGAATTAACAGTGAAACTAGAACAATTCAGGCAACTAATGACCTTAACAAGCTAAAGGTGTATTTGTACTTCTCGTCTCCAATTGTAAATTCATCTATGGAAGTTATGAGTTCTCTCAACATTAGTCGTGGTTCACTCGTTCCAACTAGTGCAGAAAATCTTGGAAATCGTAGATTCGGATTCATGGTTTGTTAATTCTTGGATGTGATCATATGAATGCTTTTCAACTGTATCTCTTCTCCTTACACAACTTTTTTCCGACTAATTGTTAATGCAGATTGCTAATATCTCCTCCACTGCTATAGTCTCGGTTGAATTCAATTTGAAATCTATAATAACCAGACAAGGGACTCATGTTTCTCCAACTGCGCCGGTTAATTTTCTCTATGGTACATATTAATGATGTTACTTACTCACCAAGTAAACACTGTTTGGATTTATAAGCTAATATTTTCATGGAATTCAGATTCTAAGAGGCCTGCGGTGATGTTAAGTACACATAGAATGAGGACAAAAGATCACAATATACAAATATTAATCGAATTTTCAAAGCCTGTTTTTGGATTCAATAACTCCCGCGTATCAATTTCAGGAGGTTTATTAAAAAGGCAAGTGTAACATTGATTCACTGAAAAATGAAAAGTCAAAAGCAAATTGATAATTGATTTTTTTCTCTTGCAACTTTTCATTTCTGTCTAGCTTTCACAAACTTAGATGGAGCACATACATTCTTGAGCTACAAGCGGATGATGATTTGGTATTCGTCAGTGTTCCCGAGAACGTAACTCGTGATGTTTCCGGAAACAAAAATCTAGCTTCCAATGTTCTACAAGTGAGGCACTGTAAGATTTTCGATACTAGTAATCAAAATTTTTATTTTCATTTGTTAGGTGCAAGTTTTTCTTAAAAAAATCTACTCATTTATACATATTTACGATTTCATGAATCATTCAGACTCAGTACCTCTTATTTCTTCTGTGATTTCTGCATTTACAACTGCTACTTTTGCGCTGACATCGATTGTTGCTGGCCTGCTTACTATCTCAACTACAAGTCTTCAATCAAGTGATATAACTTTAGCAAGGTAATCTCATCTATTTGGTTGATATTTTTCATAGCATTGCGTTATCATCTCAAAAAGATTCGAGATCAAAAGATCATTCCGCGTTTAAGATTATCGCGTGCAGGTCACCCCCCAAAGCTTGAAAGATTCTCTCATTACGTAGGTATACAAAAAAATATGTATTCTATTCAATTACATACATTGATGGATCCGTTATTATTTTATCATTTGGAAATTGGAATGAATCTATATGTCATTTTCTTTGATTTGTTACAGCTAGGCAAATGGGGTTCAAGGATAGGAGAATCGGTCCTGATATATGTAGATTGGCTTCTGAATACATAAGCAAATATGAAGGGTTTGAAGATGATATATATTCCTATTTTGAGAATGAACCAGATGCTGATTCACTTTATGTCAAGTTGGTGGAAGAGTTTGAGAGATGCATTCTTAGTTACTTTGGATTTCATTGGATTGTTTGAGTATATATTAATATTTAACTAGTTTAGATTCTCCAAAAAGAAGTTCATAAATGTGTTGTTTTCTTGTTTCAACTATCATTAGTGTTTATCTAGCTTTAGAGTTTTGATGTACAAGACTACTCATCATGAAATTGTCAAAATAAACAGTTATAAGAACCTAATGTTGTTTCTTTATGAATGAAATTTAAACAGACCTTTCTGGGCAGGAGCATCAGGAAATGCCGTAGTCATTGAAGCAGATGCCTTCAAAGAATCAGATGTCACTGTTTCAGAGGCTGTGGAAGCTGCAAAAGACCTCTTTGCACGAAATTCAATCAATTTCTATAAGATTATCAGTTAACATTGTTGTTATGTTCAGATGATTATTGTGTTGAAGACTTTATGTTGGGTGGTTATTACTTTTTCATTAAGGTTCTATTTTAGGACTATAGTTTTTTATCAGTTATCTAGTAGTTGTCAAGTGTTGGTTTTTAGATATGTTGTTTTTCAATCATATGAAGTTACTTTTTTTCTTCAATAGGTGAAACTCTAGTGCCATTTTTATCATTCTGTGCTTTTGATGTATAGTAAGAAACTTTGTTACATCTTTTCTTTATCCTACTCTGGGCACTTCGCTCAACAGGTCATCATGACATGATTCGAACAGCCGAATTGGTGAGATAGTTGAAATTATTTTTACTATATTACAAAGTGATAGAAAATAAAACAAAAAATGATACTATAAATAAATATATTAACGAAGAAATAATTTAAAGAAAAAAATAACACAAAAAAAAACTATATTTAAATTTTTTTACATAGATAATAATTTAAATAAAAAATATATATAATAGAAAAATAAAAAAAAAATCAAGACATAAACAAAAGTCATGGCGACAGTACCGAACCGTCGTAATCAACAATTAAAAATAATCAACAAAAGTCATGACGGTATCGAACCGTCGCCATAAACAATTTAATCAATTTCAAAAGATATTCACGACAGTATCGAACCGTCGCCATCAATAATTAAAAGAAACTCAATAGATAGTCACGACGGTATCAACCCGTCGTAAACTTGAACGACAGTTTTTGTAACCGTCGCGAAATAGGTTGGGGACACACACTTCTGCGACGGTAAAGCAACCGTCGTGGAAAGCAAATTGTGACGGTTTTAACCGTCGTAATCTACAAAAATACCTGTCGCAATCTGCCAATTTTCTTGTAGTGTATATATCATCTTAGAACATGAGATTACCCATTGGCTAGGTTCTTCCAATAGATCATCTTAGAACCTGATATCGCCCATTGGCTAGGTTCTTCCTATATATCATCTTAGAACCTGAGATTGCCCATTGGCTAGGTTCTTCCAATAGATCATCTTAGAACCTGAGATCTCCCATTGTCTAGGTTCTTCCTATAGATCATTTTAGAACCCGAGATTTCCCATTGGCTAGGTTCTTCGAATAGATCATCATAGAACCTGATATTTTTCCATTTGGTAGGTTCTTCCATTAGATCATGTTAGAACCTGAGATCGCACATTAACTAGGTTCTTCCTATAGATCATCTTAAAACCGGAGATCGCCCATTTTCTAGGTTCATCATATAAATCATGTTAGAACTTGAGATCGCCCATTGGATAAGTTCTTCCTATAGATCATCTTAGAAACTGAGATTTCCCATTGGCTAGGTTCTTCCAATAGATCATCTTAGAACCTGAGATCACCCATTAGTTATGTTTTTCCTTTAGATCATCTTAGAACCTAAGATCACCCATTGGCTAGGTTCTTCCTATAGATCATCTTAGAACCTGAGATCGCCTATTGGCTAGGTTCTTCCAATAGATCATCTTAGAACATAAGACCGTCCATTGGCTAGGTTCTTCCTATAGATCATCTTAGAACCTGAGATCGCCCATTGACTAGGTTCTTCCAATAGATCATCTTAGAACCTGAGATCACCCATTGGCTAGGTTCTTCCCGTAGATCATCTTAGAACCTGAGATCGCCCATTGGCTAGGTTCTTCCAATAGATCATCTTAGAACCTGAGATCTCCCATTAGCTAGGTTCTTCCTATAGATCATCTTAGAACATGAGATCGCCCGTTGGCTAGATTCTTCCAATATACCATCTTAGAACCTGAGATCGCCTATTGGCTATGTTCTTCCTATAGATCATCTTAGAACATGATCTTGCCTATTGGCTAGGTTTTTCCAATAGATCATCTTAGAACCTGAGATCGCCCATTGGCTAGGTTCTTCCTATAGATCATCGTAGAACCTGAGATTGCCCATTGTCTAGGTTATTCCAATAGATCATCTTAGAACCTGAGATCGCCCATTGGCTAGGTTCTTCCTATAGATCATCTTAGAACTTGAGATCACCCATTGGTTAGGTTCTTCCAATAGATCTTCTTAGAACCTGAGATTACCAATTAGTTAGGTTCTTCCAATAAATCATCTTAGAACTTGAGATCATACATTTGCTAGGTTATTCCAATAGATCATCTTAGAACCTGAGATCGTCCAATGGCTAGGTTCTTCCTATAGATCATCTTAGAACCTGAGATCGCTCATTTGCTAGGTTCTTCCTGTAGATCATCTTAGAACCTGAGATCGCCCATTGGCTAGGTTCTTCCAATAAATCATCTTAGAACCAGAGATCACCCATTGGCTAGGTTCTTCCTATAGATCATCTTAGAACCTGAGATCGCCCATTGGCTAGGTTCTTCCAATAAATCATCTTAGAACCAGAGATCGCCCATTGGCTAGGTTCTTCCTATAGATCATCTTAGAACTTGAGATCGCCCATTGGCTAGGTTCTTCCAATAAATCATCTTAGAACCTGAAATTCCCCATTGGTTAGGTTTTTCCTATAGATCATCTTAGAGCCTGAGATCGCCCATTGGCTAGGTTCCAATAGATCATCTTACAACCTGAGATCGCCCATTGGCTAGGTTCTTCCAATAGATCATCTTAGAATCTGATATTTCCCATTGGCTAGGTTCTCCGACAGATCACTCTCATGTTTCACCTTAGGATCGTAGGTTGCTCGTAGATCTTATCCGACGTCTTTTTACACCGACCTTTGTTTTGTATTGACATTGCTTCAATATTACGAGTCTATCTTTCTCTTTGTATTGGAATCACCACCATATTATAGGTCATTACCTTTCTATTGCATTAGCCTTTTTCGCCACATCCCGAGTCCAATCTTTCTCTCCTCATTAGAAAACAAAAAATTCTTTCCCAAACAAAAAACAAAAAAACAAATGACCCACTCACACTTTCTTTCCGAATAAATTTTTGGAATTTATATTTAATCATCTTCTACCTTGAACTTATGAAAGGCATGCACCAATCGTAGGTTTAAGACGATTAAGTAGGGGTAGCTGTAATACCCCAAATTTGTCCTACCCTTTCACTTTTATCTGGCTTATGCATCTTGCACTTTTCTCATGTACATAACTTCCATTAGGTCATTTTGTATGTCATGCATCATTGGTCAATAATTTGGCATGAGATCAAGGGTATTTAGGAAGTTAGGGTTTTATTATTACCTAGAGATTCTTATTCTCAATCAAGGTTGAATTTACTGATTCATTAGTTGGGGTTTGTTTCTATGCGTTCATGGCATGGATTTGTGGTTTCTTGTAAAAACACAAGGTGGTCTATCTGACTTCCTTCAAAGGGTTAAACACAGAGGTTCTTATGGGTCGCAGAGTGAGGATTACCTTTTTGTGCTAACCATTTCCATGGGAGTTAGGGATTATTTCTCTATTTGTGTGGTCTCTCATCATCAATTTAAGTCTGAATCAGTTGGTTCTTAGCATCATCAGAAGATTGGATCGTTTGAATAAATGGATTACAAGTTAATGGCTTTGGATTTCACTTAAGAGAAAGGTTGGAAACGGGGTGAAAATCATGAACCATTTCACGATGGAATACAGTTGGTGAAATATTGACCAAAGTATGTGTTAAGTTGTAGTTTTCATCTTATCTTGATTAATGATCGTTGAAGTTTGGAAAAATTGAGAAAATATTAGAGAATTCAAATAAAGTGCAAAGTTAAGAGGGAAACTTCAATTTTGAATTTTGACTTACTTTACAAGACACCACAAAGTCATTACAAAGATGCTACAACTTATAAACTACCAAGTAAATTAAAATTTGTTTTGATCTTAAACCTAATCTTTACTCTAAACTCCATACTCCATGTTCCATCTTCAACAATATCGTCATGCCTTATCTCTTCCTCATGCTTCATCTATATTCATAACTATATTGCCTTCAAAGTTGCAGCACATGGTTGGAATTTTGGAACCTTAAAACTAGACCTGTATAAGGGTTGGCAGTATTAAATCAGAAAGAGAAGAAAGCAAAACATGGAAAATACTATATCAGGAAATATGATACACTAGATAAATTACGGAAATAAAACAAAATTCGGTTGAATTTTCAGCCCTACATCAGTTATGGGCAAAAAGAAACATCCCGCAACATGAACTGGTTCAAAATCCGTGCTTTGCGATTTCAAGCCATGATTCAAAACCAAGGCAGCCCTGCCATTTTGAAGCAAACAAAAACGAGTCTAGAAAACTTCCTGTAACAGAAAAAACTAACTTTTAACAGAGTTAACAAAATTTCTATAACTAACAGAAAACCATCTCAAACCTCTAACCAACTTCTAGCATAACCCAATAACTGCCCATAATAGAAAACCGACTACATGTAACAGAAAAATACCAGAATATTCACAACAAAAACTAATTGTTTTCCAATTACCTATAGCAGTAAACCTTTCTAGTTAACTACCCTAACCTACTGTCAAAATAGAAAAACTAACTTCCTAACCCTTAACTGTTTTCTCTAACAGTTTCCAACCTCTTAGAAGACATTGCCAGTTCATCATAACAGAATTTTGAAGCTTCTAATCCAATGGCAATAACAAATTTCTCACAGAACTTATAACATATTGAAAAGCAGAAAAGGGGGGAGAGATTCATTCAGAGTAATTATACCAGAAAAATCAAAGAGAGGAACAAGAGGAAAAATCACAAAAAACTCACATGAATTCATTCTTTCTAGCTCTCTCTGCAAAATCACCATCAAATCGTCTCAACCATTTTTATGAACCTATTATCTTCTTACTCTCACCATTTTTCACCAACATAACCTTCACTGAATTCACCTCCAATCACCTTCAGATCTTATCATCCTCTCACCTTTTTCACCATTCTCTCTCTATAATAAAACCTCAATCTCAAAATCTTCTTCTCGAACCTCTATAATGCATCACCATTCCCACTCATTTTCTACCAATTCACCTTCAATCATCGACCTCCATCTGGATCTTCTC